TCAGTTTTCATTAAATTTATTTATTTTTAGTACGAAATATTTAAACATTTTAATCAAGCCAAGATACGGAGCATTTGCATCCAATCCAAAAGTTTCCATCGAGGTTTTTTCTCTGAGAAAAGTCGAGACAATGCTTCATCAATGTTCGATAAGCAATTGAAAGATCCTGGGAGTTTACATTAAGACGCACAATGATTTTTTATATAAATATTGACTCCAAGGTATTTTTACTCCGGTGTGGGCGGTGAAGTATCGCAAGAAACTGAAGGCGATTTCGACTGGTGACAACAGTTCGTCGTTTGTCTGTCCCTGACATACAATCAAAGCAGGCATTTTGTCTAATGCCTAGGCAGACAGTATAAATAATGTTACTTGAATTACAAGTTATGCGCTTCTGGGCACCAGATGCGCCCTTTCCAGCCGTTCGACTCCCCCGATGTAACATGTACTATACTACATACCGTTTTGCCTTATGGTTAATGACGCCATTCTGGTACACCCGGGAAAATTTGATTTTCTTCTGCATCTGGTATTCGTAAAAGTTTTCGTGAAATGTTTTGCTTTTAAGCATAACAATCTCGCACGGACGTATTACCTGGTTAAACTATTTTGGGGCTTCGTTATGCTTAAATGCCTCGTATTCGAGGTTGTAGTTTCAGATTGATTCGAAAAAATCACGAACAGTCACGTGATCTCTTCATTTTAGTGACGTATTACTGTGCTATTTTGTGATTGGTTCATTTTCTCGGCGCAGCATCGTCAAGCAACTCGTCAAGCGTCAGCTGTTTGCGGCTCTGGGTTGAAGGTTAATAAGGTAATGTCAGAGAGAATAGAAAGTTAGAGGCCCGACTCGATGCTAAGTAATTGAAACAGATGCGCTCGCAGCGCGCTCGCTGGCAACGTACGCAACTATTATTTTCTATTGTTTTCCAGAGACTAGCGGCGGGTATGTTGCTGCCGGACCACCTTCACGTAGGCAATTTGTTATACATCGTCCGTCCGCAATACTCTCGCTTGGCCGTATGAAAACGTTCCTCGCATGCGCAGTGTTAAAGGAGCGCCCTCCAACGCTTTGGCGTTGGAACTGCTTGTTTTGGTTCTTCTGCTACTTTTAAAATGAATAATTGTGTACCTATGTTAGCAGTAAATAAGGATGGAATTAAAACATGAATAGATAAAGGCTAAAACATTAAAAATACTAAAAGTCAGGACGTTTCGCGCTGTTACCAGCTCATTTTCAGAGCTGCAAAAGACACAAACAAATAAATAAACATTGAGTGAGTGATAACAGACTAATTTTTTTTTATTTTTTAATTTTTTTTATGTATTTTTTGTGGCTGAAAATGAGCTGATAACAGCTCGAAACTTCCTGCTTTTCAGTGTTTTTAATGTTTAAGCCTTGTCTACCCATGTTTAAATTCCATCCTTATTTATTCGTATATTCGGGCTATGTTTTTGTGCTTTATTGTTGGCAGTAATTCCTTATACAAATGTGAATCTTACGTTCAGAACTATTATTACATGCCTGATTTGACTATGTGCCTTCGACATGTCTAAATAAGCCGTGGGAGACGTGTCAACAGCGTTGGACAGTACTCGGGACTCAACGCCCCTATTACACTTAACAGGCAAGTATCCCGGAACGGCGCGCGCTGCAGCACTTCAGAAGCTGAAAATGATCAGCGTGTCCATCCCATGTGGACGTATTTCTGTCAAACGGAACTATGTGCATTATGACGTGAGCCCTGTTATTCATACATTCTTATGGGTCTCAGGGCTCACGTCTTAATGCACATAGTTCCGTTTGATAGAAATACGTCCATGTGAGGAGTGGAGTGACCACGCCCGCGGTTGCCGATCTCAATTTCTGACGCAGTCGACGGGTCTCCCCAAGTTTGCTGCCGTGCTAAGGAAGAACGCCGTATGAACCTTCAGACGTTGCCAAATTTCCTTTGAAAAAAACACGAATTTCCTGGTAAACTCATGAATATTTTCCTTCCAAATTTTCCAGATAATTTTGTTTGCACTTACACCCAAATTCCCTGAAAATTTCAAGGAAAAAAATCCATAATTTTCCTTGAAAATACACATTATATTGGATGAAATTTGGCAACTCTCGAATGTTCATACGGCGTTTTTCCTTCGCACGACAGTTTGGCTCCCTCCACGAGCCCGTCGGGGATGCCACTGGTTGGGGGTGATAATGACGTTCTGGTAATTGTAATTGTTGACGTCACAAAAGGACGACAAACTCTACCGTCATTCCGAGCATTCCTCCTCCAGCGCGAAGTTGCCTCGCCGCGCCGAGACTTAAAATAGCCTCTAATTTATACAGTGAAGGGATTTATTGCTGATAAAGGCCCGGTCGAGTGTTGTTACGTAAGCTTTTTAAGGGGAAGAAGGTCAAGTCCGGTCCTGCGTAAGTCTCTTACTTCAAAAGAAAACAAAAGTAATCTTAAAAAAATAAATAATTATTTCATCGTTTGGTTCGAAAACCAACCAACTCCAAAAACGTGTTCCTTATTATAGGAATTAGATTCATGGGAATGACATGACGATACATTTGATATCAGTATCGAATGCGATATTTTTCCTCTAAAAAAACCACGCCTATATTACATTGAATTTACTTGTCAAAATCCGTAAGTGAATCTCTTAGTCTTCCAACAACAGAACTGCGATCTCATAATTCGAGAAAAATGACGAGTCGCTAAAAAAATGGAACCAATCGATGCGACGCATAGCATTTCGTTCTGACACAGAATATGGTGTCCATTTATTAATTATACTCAGAGAAAAATGAGGAATTGCCTTTCGGTGCCCATTATTCGTAAATAGAAACCTTATCATAGTTTACAACAAATTTACTGAATAAAGCGGCAAGGTGGCACAGTGGATTTATTCGCACAATTGGACCTACTTATGCAAAATGAGAGCATTAAAAAATTAACTAAATCAAGTGGAATTACTTGCACAGGATTGACGCGCCAAATATAATTATTTTTTTGTTTAATTCATTTATGGAGTTTTCTCTGGCGCACATACGCCCAATTATTGCCGCGTCTGCTCGGAACATGAAGAGGAACGTTGAGTTGAAGTGACACCTAGGCATGGAAATTTAGCGTACATCATGATGAAATTAACTCGGAATTATTAAACCACATGGTGCATTCATTCGATTGCTTAAGGTGATTCGATGGACGCCATATTTTGTGTCAGACCGGCATGCGATATATCGCACCAATTGGTTCCATTTTTTCAGCTACTCGTCATTTTTCTCCAATTTTGAGATCGCAATTCTGTTGTCAGGAGACTAAAGCACTCACTTACCAGTTTTAACGAAGAAATTCAACGTAATAAAGGCGTGGTTTTT